TGGCCCTTATTGCAGAACGTACCCACCCGCCACACCAGGTTTTCACCTCTGGTATATGCTTTCTGGCCCGCGAGGTGAAACACCATCACGGCGATCATAAATACGGTCTGTGCGTTAGAAAATTACTCCACCTACTAGCTTTTTTCGGTTAGGGGGAAGGCAAGGCCAGTAAAAACATCTCAGCCAATTCGAACAATCAAGCAGCAAAACAGACGCTGGTAAGGTCAAGTAGTGGAGGAGATAAGCAAAATGACAGCTACCAACGAGACGATGGGAATGGAATGATATTCAGAGCGGGTGTGTAATGGCTGAACGGCAACTGGGCGTTGGTATGGGCTACCATGTCAAGCAAACGCGCATCACCATGTTGTCTGAATGTGAGTGTTTATTGAGCTACAGAACAGTATACGAGCCATGGTGCGACGTAACAGGGTGGCCCTTATTGCAGAACGTACCCACCCGCCACACCAGGTTTTCACCTCTGGTATATGCTTTCTGGCCCGCGAGGTGAAACACCATCACGGCGATCATAAATACGGTCTGTGCGTTAGAAAATTACTCCACCTACTAGCTTTTTTCGGTTAGGGGGAAGGCAAGGCCAGTAAAAACATCTCAGCCAATTCGAACAATCAAGCAGCAAAACAGACGCTGGTAAGGTCAAGTAGTGGAGGAGATAAGCAAAATGACAGCTACCAACGAGACGATGGGAATGGAATGATATTCAGAGCGGGTGTGTAATGGCTGAACGGCAACTGGGCGTTGGTATGGGCTACCATGTCAAGCAAACGCGCATCACCATGTTGTCTGAATGTGAGTGTTTATTGAGCTACAGAACAAGTCATCGGATGGATTCGGCACACATTTATACATGTTGGCGTATATAACGTTCTAGTAATGAAGAAAAAACTTACTGATTGGGTTTTTGTCAGTGTGAGTTGAGCTGACGAAGCCGATAGAATAGTCCGGAGTAAATACTTGACTAGAACGGGGTTTAAGTTGACTGGGAAAAATATAAAAACAACCAGGTCAGCAACACAACATTTTTAGATCAAGTGGGCTTTTAGATTTTACGGAGGCTTTGGGCAATCAAGAGGGTAGTAGGCTATGGTAACAGGGTCTTTTACCTGCCCACTGACTGTATTGTCGCTAAACTCGAATGCGCACTGGGCCCGATTCATACAGGGGGTCGGTGGTAGTTGGGTAGTAAGTAAATCGGCAGCAGTTTCAAAGGTAAGGAATTTGTCCACAAACTAACAAAAAGTATGATCATTCGTGATTTTTTGTAGCCGCTCACGAAGGTTGTTCCAGATGCGAGCGTAGTAAAATATACCGAAGTGTTTGTACAGGTTTGTACAAGCTGGATGTCAATAAGATGTTGCAGGAGTTACGGAATCAGCAGTGAGGACGTGAGTTTATGTTTGGTCCAGCCTCTGCTGCAAAGGGGTTTTTGTGCCGCAGACGGCGCAAGGGAGCCAGAATCACCTTAGACCATCTGAGCCATAGTGTTTCGAGACCTACGATTAAGCAGCGGAAGCAGTAAGAAAGAGGGCTGGGCCGCTTGTTAGCGATCCACGTTAATCGGTCGAGCCCACTCTACTGGGCTACGAACCCATAACCGGCAGATTGCGTAAGTACTTCAATGGACCTCTGTTCATATTTCGAAGCCGATAACAAATACATACCTGATTGCATTCTAGAGTGTAACGGCTTCACCATGTTGTGAGACCTTCTTGGCGTTGTTGATGATACACTGGGCCTGTTCAACATTACATCTCAGGGAATCGGACCAAACGAGTAACGGGAGGGGAACTCATAACTGTGGCGTCTTACCAGCTTTTGTATGATCTCTACATGGCCGTAAAATGCTCACAGCTTGGTACATATTGCCAGTCGCCAGACCCTTACGCCAACATTCTGCGTACAAAATCGGTTTCCTTTTTTCCGCGCACAAATTTGCGGAAGAATTCTTCCGCTGTTCAATTTATTATTTGCAGACTTCACACGTGTCGTTTCTTGAGTTTTTTCACTCTTGCATAACCTCTGCATGTGTTGGTGCTATTATCTTTCACTCGAAGTAATGTCGGAGGGTGAATAATACTAACAAACAGTTATGTATAGCGGCTACCAGAGACACTAATACAATAGAATAATACACAAAGTGGAAAGAGACTTATCGAGTTCTTCGTTTGACAATTCGCAGCAGATGCACCCGAGGTTTGTAGGACGCAGTTGAATTGAATGCGGGTCTTGATCGAGCGTGTTGAAATCTGTTCTGTTTTTTGTCGTTTAATCCAAAGCGATATCGAGCCCAGACTTTTCCTGCACAGTGAGTCGAGCGTAGGTTCGAATTGACTCCGGTCAAGGCGCTGTGTGAAGTGACGAGCGTCGACATCCTGCCGTCGTCGTTCCGGATATAGATAAGTTTACGTTGTGAGTGACGATGCGATTGCATTGTTTGTCTTGGGATAATACTCCAATAATCTCGGTTAGTCGTGAGGCGAATGTTCATGACATAGTCAAGACAGGAGAGAAACAGGGGCGGTTGAAGGCAAACATTCATGAGGTATTAACCGAACCGTGAAAGCGGGTGAAGATGAACGTTGAAGGGATGGTAACCAACACATGATAAACACTGTGCGTTTGCACTCAGTCTCAATCATGACCCAAATAATACAGACTGCTCTCTGAATCCATCGATAGGCTACAACACATGCGAGGGAAGTGAGTGTCCATCGAAAGTAAGACGTGGCATTTAGTGTCACACCTGCAAAGCCGGATGGCATTTTAAATGCACAGGTTTATAGGGCGAACATGTGAACCAAAAAGCTAATTCTCCTGATCCTTTGGTCTCCACGAACTGCCTCTACCTTCAGGGTGCAATGCGTTCCGTGAGTAGAAAGAGAGCCATCAAAAACGAACCACGGCCGCGCCGCTAAATTGGAAATACCAGTGTAAATGTTTGCCTTAATCGGGATACTCTAAGCAAGAATGGCGCTTCCTCTCAAAGGTCTGAAGGACACAAGCACAAAGAACGCTGCGACCAGGACGAAAGCTGGTAATGAACGTTTTTTTCCTGAACGAGTGCTTAGCGCTATCCATTCCGGGAAGATTGGCTGTGACGCAGCAATCCAGACCGCCGCGCCGTCTCTGTTGGACAGTAGTATGAGAGAGAGCAGGCTGATCATATGGGGTCGTTCTCCAGGAAAATCAAGTCAATGAAGCAGTCACAGTCACTCCTCGGTAATATCCTCATAAAACTTGAACACGGTTCGCTTCACGCAGAGTGGTTAAGCTGGAAAGGCGGCAAGCGACCTTTCGGGCAGGTGGTCACTCTTCCCTCCCGAAATGCCGCACAGAAAACCTTGGATCGGACAGTCAGCATTCAAGGAACCTACTGAACAATCTGGTATATTTCTGAGGAACTCCCTTTAGATGCACGAAAGCTGGGCCACAACAGTTCCATGGGAAAAGTGCGAAACAGGTTTCCGCTCGGCATCAATTCAACCGACCCCAAAATTATAGCCGAACCGATGCTAGTTATGACACTTTGCGCTCTTGAAAGCACGCGGACGCAACCGTCTGTGACTCCGGACTGCAGCTACTACTCAACAACCGCAGATCCCACGACTGCCGAAGGCAGCTATCCCCGGCAGAAAGCAAGCCTCGCGTGGACAAAGAATCCAAAATATGTAGAGCCAACACAGCTTGTTTCCAGACGATAAAGCTACAGCAGTGAACTCCACACCCAAGTCACAAATTCTAAGTTGGACTGGGCCAGACGTGTTGAGACAAGCGGTGAAGCCTCCCGGCAAATCAACAACAAGCGTCGACCTTAAAATTGACGAATTGTGCGAGAACTCTATAGTTACTGAGAATGTTGTACCCGCCAGTCTCCGGATCCACCCCGTCAAAAATTGTCTCTCCGATTGCGCACGCAGTCACTACCCTTGAGTTGGATAGCCAAGGCCACAAACTCGACAACAGAAAACCGGGAAATCCTTCCTACACCAAGTTGTCCACGCTGATCGCCGGCGGCTCGAGAGTCCTGACAAACAGAAAAGAGAATTGGCTGCAGTAAAACAAACCACATAAGATTCACCGAATCAAAAAATTGCTGGCTGGCTCAAGGTGTAATTCAACGCGGAAACCAGCCTCTTTTGGGCTCCACCAAAGGGGATACTTCTTGGTGCTGCCACGCAACGCTCAGGGCCTCATAGTGACACCTTATCGATGAAGCAGCGTCAGAATGTCGCCTCAAATCACTGAACGACGGCAAATACAGTCGTACAAAAGACGGGTGTTGAAAGAGTAACATGTAGCAGCGGTCGAATTTTCGCCCACAATGAGAGGGAAACAGGGTCACGGGAAAGCAAAAGGCTCGCGCAAACTGGGCTCCCAAGAGGTTAAAAAACCTAGCAAGTGAAATGCAGCTCTCGGAACCACCTAAGCAGGATGCAGACAAATATGCCGCACAGGTTCCTTCGGAGCCCGGGTTCCAACACGACGAACAACTATTAAATTTGCTGACCTCTCCGGTTGCAACCTCTTGAATCCTAGCAGTCAATTTGTCTTGAGCAGCCATCCATTATCTCAATCATAGAGACTTGACTCATACCACATACCTCATGCGGAGACCCCGATGGGCCGCTATTCTGTTTTTCGAGCTGACTTAACAAAAGGGAAGGCTTGTTGGGTTGCTTTATACTTACATCCGGCCCCGCACATCCACTTAGAACCCAGTTCAAAGCACTGTTATACACTCATCAACCGAGCCCTCGCGCTGGCGAACTTGCAGCCACACGCTGAGAACATGAGAAGCGGTGCTACACACGTCTTTCACCCGTGCCTTTCGGGTGAACAGCAGCCGGTGAACGACAAGAACGAAAACGGTCCGGGAAAACTGAGCGAGAGCCTCCATACCGTATATCAATCCGTGAATGCTTGAAGGATTTCTGCTTGTTTTATCACCTCGGTGGGCATTATGGTTTGAGGCGGTAGTTTTCATTTTGAATGGACTCTCGACGTGTTCCAGATGTTCGCCCCGGATTTTCAATAGTTTCTTTTTTGTGGGGACTATCTTTCGATTGATTGCTGACTTTGATATGACCACTGTCATATTCGCGTTTTTGTACTGGAATGGACGCGTATCCGGTTGTTCCGCAATCAATCATCATTCCAATTAGGGAGGGCCTTGGACAACATAGGTATCCCTAGCTTTCTGAAACTGCTTAGCTCTAAACCCTACGAAAATGTTTCCGGTGAACTCCTCCGACAAACTTAAATGATTTGGATAGGTTTAGTTGACGCAGGCTGCTTCTTGGGATTCCTACGCGGCTGGCCCATTGTGAACGACGTATGACTAGCTATACTGTGATAACCATTAAACCTTCCGCCGGTTCTCTGGGATTTACTTTTGAAGATACAAGTGAGTCCTTTTAAGCCATAGTCAATAAATCACGAGACACCGTGCCCAGTCTGTTGCTTGGTCTTTCATCTCGATTGTCCTGTTCATCATTTTTATGTATCAAGCAAGACTATTGAATTTGGGACTGAATGGTGTAGAACACTGTTAACTACTATTTTTCCTCTGTTTCAAAGATAAGCGATCAGGGACATCCATGGGTGTAATGTCGGAGTTTGGGACCAGAAAAATTCGGAAGGTCATCTGTAGACTGGAAAAAGAGTATGAGGTTTGCAATGAAACAGAAAAATGAAACTGTGAGCCATTCTACATATTCAGGTTGTTGAGGTTCTATCTCTGAGTATTTCTAATAGGAGATTAGACGTATTTTATAAGTCGTTTTCTGGGGTTTGATATAGCTTATCTACTTTCGTAACTGAGTTAAGGTGTCCGACTGAGATGGGCGTGCTCGTTTAAATCATACACTGAATAACTGGCATGTAAATTAACCTCACTATATCACCTACTGTTTATGCACATTTGTTGATTCCTAATATCGCAGCCTGCATTCAAGGCAAGCCTACTAGAGTGACGGTTTCACTTATCGATAGATTAGAGAAGAAAATAATGTTTCTTCCCTGGGATCATACCAGGGATCACGTACGAGCTCGAGATTGCTCAGTGGTTAAGACGGCAAATTACTCACCGGATGGTTCGCACCCAACCGCGGCATCTGGACTGCTCCTGGGTAGGCGTGATCATTCAGGCAGTATCTCAGCCCTCGTGCTTTCTTCGGGTGGCATGGCAGGTATGAACCGAAGGGCTGTTATAGCTGAACGGTCATTTTATCTATTTATGGATGTATTTTTGCACTCAGCGAGTCAGTCCACAGACTTGTGTTCAACAAGCACTGGCATCTCTGAACACAGCCTTTATATCCACACTGCAGTCGAACTAATTATTCGATTGGGTATGGTTGAAGAGCAGTGAAATTAAGACAACTTCGGTAATCGTTGTCTCAGGACCATAGCTCGTGTGGGTCAGGGTCGGCGTATTCGTGATGAGGCAATTAGAAAGCGGTTTTCGGTTGTGCCACGGGTACTTCCATTGAAGAGCGGGTTCGGCACCAGAAGCTGTGTCGGTTGAGACCTGTGTTCATCGTCCTCGACAGTATGACATCAGTGTTCAACACCAGAGCTTCGCTGCCGTACAACCATGATTTATTAAGAGCCTTATTGTAAAGAAAGTAATAAAGGTGGACGAAAAAGGAACTTAGTGCTAGCTCACTACCATCATTCCGAGATGGCCCAAGTGGTTAGAGCGCGAATTTACTGACCGGAAGGTCCGTGGTTCGATCCCGACCTATGCCTCTCGATTCCCCTGTCTAGAATTGGGCAACCTGGCAGTATCCCAGCCCTCGTGCAACCTTCGGGTGGCAATGCAGTTAGGCACCGAAAGGGTGCTACAGCTGAACGATTTTTTTGCACTCTGAGGTGCCTAAACCACCGAACACTCATTCAGGCAATCTGGATAGAAACTGACATCGGCTGGCAGCCACATCTTGCACATCAGGCGCAGTGAGAAGCACGTTTTCCCACCTTGAAAGTCGAGTAGCACTGGCTGCTACCAACCGTTCCGTGATTTCTTTCTTACCCCTCTGCCAGGTCAAGGGTTGGCCACCTCTGCTTCCGCCACTCTTAATTGGGCATGGAAAACAGCACTCTCTTCGGCAAACCATGGTTCGGCACACGCGACACATGTCCCAACCAACGCAGCTTCTGGTGCTGGACACGTGTTGCGGATGGCTAACCATCATTTTCCGAAGAGAGTGCTGTTTTTTATGCTCAATTAAGAGTGGCGGAAGCAGAGAGGTGGCCATCCCTTGGCCTGGCCGAGGGGTATGAAGGACAATACGTTTGGGTGCTGTCGGAGCTGCTCGCCCTCCGGGATGGGGAACTCGTGATCCCCACTGTGCCTGGTTAGGGACGTTGCAAGATACGGTTGCTGATCAATGCCAGTGGCAATTAAGTTTCGTACGTATATCGGTCGTGATCCCCTGCCTGGTTAGGGACGTTGCAAGATACGGTTGCTGATCAATGCCAGTGGCAATTAAGTTTCGTACGTATATCGGTACAACCAACCAAACTAGAAATCCAGAATTCAGCGAAGAGTGGCAACCAGCACGTATATATTCGAATTGGCGAATATGTACAGCATATGGAATATTAAAACAAGAGAATAATGAATAGAGCAATGAATAGAGCATCAGTCATGTTCATCACATCCGCCACACCTTGAATGAGCGTGCGGGTGTTTATAGTCCAGTGGTGGTCTTGACCGCAATCTTTCGGATCTTCTCGGAATGGAAACTTCAGAATCTTCACAGGTAGTACGTTCTTCAGATACAGCATTTTGTTCGGATACCACAAGATCATCTACAAAGGACTCATTAGTATTTGAAACAGCAGGAGTGCCGTTAACAGACTGACCTCTGGTATTGAACTCAACCTGGTCAATGTGTCTCCGATGACAAGAGAGATCATCCAAATCGAGAATTGTGACCATTCGTTTGCCATTTGATGAAAGCACTATTCCTGTTGCGGGTCGTAAATCATTACCCTTGAAAAATGTAACATCAGCCGTTTTGGCACAGTCAAGACTTGTACGCAACGAACGAGATTTAAATAGAAGCGCGGGACTCTTCCCAGTAACGGAATGGACGGCGTTCCTGTATTGCATTAGAAAATTATCAATCCCACGGTCCAATTCCACAAAAGTAGTGGGAGAGAGTGAAATAATAGCAGATTTAAGTATTCGGACAAAATTTTCAGCAAGTCCATTCGACTGGGGATGTCGCGGAGCAGTAAACAGATGTCGACAACCAAGACCCTTCAACCATTCCTCGAGGAATTTTGCAGTGAAGTGTGTGCCGTTGTCAGTGACCAAAACAGTTGGTACACCTTCGTGGCTGAATACTTTCCTCAAGGCTTGCTGAGTGAATTCGGCACTTGGAGAAGTAGTTAGAAAAACTTCAGGCCAACGGGAATATGCGTCAATAAGAATTAAAGCATAGTATTTACCAAGAAAAGGACCACAGTAGTCAGCATGAACTCGTTGAAATGCTTCACAAGTAACTGGCCACGGATGCCACTGTGAAGACTTGTTATGAATCTTATGTGCACACTTAACACAATTCTTAGCAGTATGCTTGATATCAGCATCCAGTTCCGGCCACCAGCATGACAAGCGTGCAAGGGATTTCATTTTATCGACACCCAGATGACCAGAGTGTAAATCTGCAAGAACAGCCGCTCGCTGAGTCGGTGGAATGACAACTCTATCCTCAAAACACAGCAAACCATCCGGAGTAACGGACAAGCTTTCGCGGCGACAGTAAAAAGCAGGAAATCGGCGTCGTTCTTGCTGCGTCCAGCCACGTCGCAGTGCAGAGAAAATGGGAGCGAAATATCTTTTAGTGTCAGCAACAAGCACATCCCGCTTGACTGGTAATGGTTGAATCAGTAGACAATCTGAGTTGTTTGAATCAGAGTCACATGATAGAATTCTTGACAAGAAATCGACATGAGGAATCATTTTCGCACTACGATGAACTACTGTGTAGGTGTAAGAACTCAATGCAATAATCCACCGTTGCACCATAGCGGCAGATGACTTCGCCAGAGACTTCGTTGGATGATACAAGAACTTCAAAGCCTCGTGATCAGTAGCAATGGTAAAGTTCAATCCAAAAAGATACTTATGAAGCCGTTTGACAGCCCAATATACAGCAAGTGCTTCTCGTTGAGTCTGAGAATATCCACGTTCGGCTTTTGAAAGTCGACGGGAAATGCAGATCACTGGTCTACCACACTGTTCGAGGATTGCTCCTATTCCAGTGGGAGAAGCATCAGTAATGATCGTCGAATGATGTTTGGCGGAAAATGGCTTCAAAACAGCTGAAGTCTGAAGATAACCAAGCAGTGCACGCAACGCCTTCTCATGGTTGGAAGACCAAGAAAATTGATTGGAAGATATGACATCAAACAGACAACTTGCGTGTTTGGCGAAATTAGGAATGAAACGAGAGTAATACTGAAGTGCTCCTAGAACTGAACGCAGTTCTTGTAGATTGGTCGGTGATGGCGCATTTACTAAAGGGGATAGACGTCTTGTATCAGGTTTAAAACCGCTGCCATCCACAATGTAGCCAAGGCATGAAAATGATGGGACACCAAAAGTGCATTTTTCAGGATGAATAGCTACATTGAACTCAGAAAATCTCTTCAGTAAAGACAACAGACGCATATCATGGGTAGCTTTGTCAGCAGCGTGCACAATGACGTCATCTTGGTACGTCTCAACACCCTCCAAATCTTTTGCAATAGTATTCATAACTTGCTGAAATACAGCTGGTGAAACGTTCAGACCAAAGGGAAGAAAATTGTATCGGAATAACCCAAAGGGTGTGTTGATCACGGTAAGGTTACTGGAGGCTTCGTCCAGTGGTATTTGAAGATAAGCATCTTTTAAATCGATTTTTGAAAACACACTTGAACCTGATAAACGATACAATACATCTTCTGGCTCTTCCGTGGTGCATGTACGTTGTAGTAGCCGCGTATTTAGCGTAAGCCGGTAGTCACCACAAATTCTCGGAGTAATACCATCAGCCTTCAGTGGGGTAACGATCGGAGTTGCCCAATTCGATGACTCAACAGGAGTCAGTATTCCTTTCGCACACATTGAATTTAATGCTTGACGAACAGGCTCGCGTAAACCAAATGGAATAATCCGTCTCTTAAGAAATATAGGCTCTCCTGTAACTTCGAGCCTCATCTTGGGAATTTGCATGCCACCTGTGGCCTTAGAACATTTAAGAATCAGTTGCTTGAGTTCATTCTCATTCGCAGAAGTCAGTAAGGTGATACTGGTTTGCAGTAAGCGTAGAACTTTGAGTCCGACGATCGATGGTCCCGACGTTGATACCAAAAAATTACAATCGATACAGGTACCTTGTAGTAACC